CGCTAGCTCGTTTGCTGGAGGCTGAATTATCAGTAGAAAATCTTCATTCCCTGAAATATCTAGTTCGCTGGAGCCATGTGGAAACTTCTTCTTCCTAGAACTGTTCTTAGGATGAGGAATATGGAAGAGAGAAGCAGAATTAGCAAGGGGACGTGGTGAGTTCAGTTTGGGACCCACTGATGTTGAGATTACTGTGAGCTATTGAATAGGCAGTTGGATATTCTGATCTAAAACTCAGTGAGTGTTGGGCTGTCACTTCTGATTTGGTAACCATTATCCTATAGGCAGTCGTTGAAATCAGGAGAGTAGATATTCTATTTACCTTTTAGTTTCTGTATAACAGGGTAGACTTTTAAAAAAAAAAAGATTTATTTAATTTTACTTATTATTATTTTAATTTACCGTAGGGTATGTGTGTTCATGAAAGGGAAAACACAATTCAAAAATAAATTACTAGATCCAGGACTCGAACCATGATCAGCTGTGTGGGAGTCCAGAGCCTCAACCACCATGCTACCAGCTGGCCCCATAGAATAGACCTTTAAGCTTATGTTACTTTCTTTCTTCATTTATTTATTAGGTGAACTTTATCAGACTCCTTCTATGTATGATTCAGCTAAGTTAGGAACTAGATACCTGTATATGAATAAGTATAAAATGTGACTTTGGGGCCAGCCAGTGGCGTGGGAGTGAAGGTGGCCAGATCTCACATGGCCAGCTGAGCAGTTTGAATCCTGAACCTGGTGGCTTGAAAAACATACCAGACATGTATGCACATGTATAAAAAAATCCCAAGAAGCGAATGGAGGAGAAGGGATTGTGACATGGCCATCACCCCTCTCACGGAGAGTCTCCCTCCCCTCCTCCATCTCTCTCCGGGGAGCGCACACGTCCTATAACACATTTTCTTTTTCTTTTTAAATGTAGCTTTAAGTTGTTTTTGATCCATCGGGAGAGATAGAAAATCAGTCACAATACTGCTTCACCTGTGAAACAGCTATGCACAAAGTGCTGTGGAAATACGGAGAAGAGACTAGCTGTGTATGAGACTGGGAAGAGGTGTCACAGAAGTAACATTTGCCATAGTCTAAAGAATGAAGATTTCCCCCTTCTTATAGAAAGCAGATGCAGTAGGGCATTCTAGACAGAGTGTATGGTGTAAGCTGAGATTGGAGGCCTAAAAGGAATCTGTGTATCCAGGAATTGCTGAGCAGGCCAATGGGGTTCTGTTGTAGGGTTCAGGGATATATACCTGCTTGGGGAGGAGGATCCAAGACACGTGGTGGCCGTCTGTCACGTGCCCTTTATTTTCATAACCAGTGGCTACAGTTTGGTCCCAATCTTAGTGGACAGCCAGTGGGGGGATAAGATTTATGTTTTCTCTCTAGATCTCTTTCATTAGGCTTCCGATTGTTAAGGTCAGTTGTTTCTGTTACTGATCAAAAACAAAGTAAGTTTCTCCATATTTGGTCTCATTCAGTGCAGATTCTTTGTTCTCAGTATCTGAGTTCCTCAGCTTTTAGTTTAGTCAAGAATTTATAGAGAAGGGAACCAGCAGTTAGCTTAATGACTATGTCGCTGGATTCCCACGTAGTTGACCGCAGTTCACGTCCCGAACCCGGTGGCTTAGAACTCACGCCGGGTGCGTGTGCGTGTGTGCCCAAGGTCCCAAGAGGAGAAGGGATTGCAGTGTGACCATCCCCCCGGGGGGTGATTTCTCGCTTTCTGTCTCTATGTCTCTCTCTGTCTGTCTGGCGAACGCATGTGCCCTATAGCGAAAAAAACTCTCAAAAAAAATTAAATATGAAAAAAAGAATTTATAGAGAACAGTTATCTTATGCTTTTTGTCATCTTTCTCTCAGTAGATTTCTTCTTTTGGTATGTTCACATACCTGCCCTTCACGATGTGCCACAAGTACTTTGTCTTTTGCTTGCTTGACATTTATTTGGTCCTCCTGACCAGGAGAGCATAAAAGAACTATGATAGCCATGCTCACTTTTTATCTGAGACTGATCTGGTTTTCAATATGGAGTAGCTATCCCTGATACTATGGAGTAACAGGGGAAGTCTTCCATTGTAATATGCCTGCCAAAGTTTCCAGAATAAGGTTATTAGTGAGATTACAGAGGCCTGAGGGAATCTCTGGCTAGTTGAGGCAACTGAAATCAGTGCTTTCTGTCTGCAGGCCTGCAGAGACTTCCTCATGTTAGCCCAGACCCATAGTAAAAAATGGCAGAAGTCTCTCCAGTATGAAAGAGACCAGCGTATCCGACTGGAGGAGACCCTCGAGCAGCTGGCAAAGCAGCACAATCACCTGGAGAGGGCCTTTCGAGGAGCCACGGTGCTGCCAGCAAACACCCCTGGCAGTACAGGTTCTGGCAAAGGTGAGATGCTTGGTTTTCGGGAAGCCTGTTCTGATACGAGCTGGGTGGTTTTCTGCAATTGACAGAGGGACTCCATATTCTTCCCAGTGACTCATGTGAAGTGCTGTTAGAGCCACTTATTTCTTCTAGCTTTTACATTGCTTTCTGTCCCTTGTTGCTGTATTTGTGGTTGGTATTTTTGAAAAACAGCTGTACTTTGGTACAAACAAAGTAAACAAACGAAGTTTTTTCTATAGATCAGTGCTGCTCTGGCAAAGGGGACATGAGTGATGAGGATGACGAGAATGAGTTTTTTGATGCTCCTGAGATCATCACCATGCCTGAAAATTTGGGCCACAAGTAAGTTATCCTTGACCACTGAGTGGTCATTAGAATGTATCAGTGGGAATATCTTAGCTATCAACGTT